TTGCTCTAGTCGGGTCTGGATCAGCCTTTAGCACCCTCAAGGGGCAGATATCGGCCTTAGCTATAATCTTTCGGGCACTACTGGCCTCTCACTCCTTGGTGAAGGCTTTTGTGCATGGAGTCTCGTATAGCTCCACCGAGATACTCTCTGATGACACGGTGATCTTAACCAGGCTCTGTCAGCCCTCCAAAGGCCTCCTTTTAAACCTATCAGGGATTTTCCCTTGGCTGATAATTACACACAAGATTGTTTTTGTTTTTTTGTCACCATTTCCTCTGCGAGGCGGGTATCAGTGCCAGTGGCTGCTACTTCCACCATTGGGAGGTGTATTACACAAGTCATTGTTCAAGCATGTTCTCTGAGGGATAGAGTTCTACCCTTTCCCATTAGGGCACACGCCACCAGATCTGTGGGTGCCTCATAGACTTTTCAAAATAAGGCATCTGTTTCACAGGTTGAAAGGCTATTGCCTGGTCTTCTGTTCACACCATTTTTAAAGTTTTACCAGGATGATGTTTAGGCCACTGCCGATGCCAGCTTTGGCCATGAGGTGTTTCTGGCTGAAGTTGAGTTTAGAGTCCTTGACCCTTTTTAATGCGGGCTTGTTGCCGTGTTGCCGGGCCCTCAGTTGCAATGCTTTTGGATGTCCCACTCATCTATGAATAAGACTGTCTTCTACTGTACTCTAAGAGAAGGAGTTTATAGGTCCAGTACAGGACAGAGGATCTTTAGTCTCAAAGTAGTCCAACTGAGGGAATGTTTCAAGGCAGGAAAGAACTGCGTGAGGTGGACAGAACAGAACCTCTGGCCCTAACTGTCATCAGAAGAGACTTGAACATCCACCTGGTAAAATCTAAGGTGGAAGTAGACCGACCGATTTAATGGTATTCCAGAATGGTTACTTTCAAGGCATGCCAGCTGTCAAGGTTGCCAGTGTGCTTATTTCACCTCTCAACTGAACAGTCAAGCTTTTAAATGGCTGGTGTTATGTGCAGCATCATGGCAACAGCAATCCAAACAGAGGCTAAAATGGAGACGTCCTTGACTGTGAAGGATAGGAGGGTGCAATTCCAATTTAACAAATGTGCGAATGAAGAACAGATGGCAGCCTTGCAAATCTGGGAAACGGATGCCAGATTCTGAAAAGCCCACAAAGTACTAACAGACCCAGTAGAGTGAGCTTTATCATGGAAGGGAGGAACCCTATCCATCAAACTATAGGCTCAAATGATGGGCTGTCGAATACATCCAGTGATCTAGAAGCAGAGGGCTCTTTGCAGGCACCGCCCAAAAAGGACAAAGGGAATATGATTGCCGGAAAGAGGCAGTAGCAGAGAGGTAAACTGGCGTGTACTACATCCAAGCAGTGAAAATAGTTTTTCTCTGAATGTTTCGAAGCAGGACATAAGCGAAGAACAATGTCCTGGTTAAAGTGGAAGAAGGCATTAGGCCTCAAGGCATCCTTATCCCTGCCCAACACTAGTAAATGTTCCTTACGGGATAAGGCAGATAAGTCAGAGACCCTCCTTGCGGAGGTAATGGTGACGAGGAAGGCTATCTTGTGAAATCAGAGGAGGGACTATCCTGAATAGGCTTAAAAGGCCACTTCTGGAGGGCCAACATAACCAAGTTGAGATCCCTAGTTATTAGGGAGCAAACAGGAGGAGCAATGCAAGCGATACTCTGAACAAACCTTAACCACCTTCCGTCCATGGCCGTTTGTGAACGGCCGGACGGGAGTCTGCTAGGAGCGGGAGGGCGTCTTAAGACGTCCTGCCCCTCCCCCCTCTCGTGTGCGGCACTCAGCGCGCACACGAGAGGGAAAACTGTGAGCATGTAAACAGCCAGCGATGGCTGTGTACATACAAGCGATCAGGTTGTAAAAAATAAAACCCCCAGTGGTGATTAAATACCACCAAAAGAAAGCTCTACTATCAGTCCCCAAAAAATGGTATGAAATTCGTATCAGTACAGCGCTGCATGACGGAATAAACGTCAGCCAAAGTACCACAGCGCTGAACACTGAAAAATGGCCTGGCCAGGAAGGGGGTGAAACACCGCGGTCTTCAAGTGGTTAAAATGTAGTTACACTTTTGCAAGCACACCTAAGAAAACCCAAACCCATCTAGATGTTGTGTTCCTATTCACACAGCATCCCTAAAAATATTTTTAAAACAATCTTTCTTGCCTTTTAGATGTTTCTGCGTAGCTGGCCTTAGTAACTTCTCTGTACAATTTCAAAGTGACAGGAGGCTCTTGCTGTCCCCAAAGACTAGGGACATTCAGCTTCCTCTCATTAGCATACAATGCATCTAGATCTTTGAACCTTTTGTTAGGACAGTTTAAATCTAATTTACAACTGATAATGAGATCTGCCAGCACAATCCAGAGAGGGTTAATTAGGTTAACGATTAACTCTCCATCCCCCTTGCATTCCAGAGGAAAATTTAGTTTAGAGAAAAACCTTTTTTTTTTTCAGGAAAAAGCATGTAATATGTAAGCAGCAAACTTTAAGTATTTTTTTAAATAATGCTATGTGAATGAGAATATGTACAAATATAAAATAAGATTTATACTAATTTGGCTGCAAAAGTGGAAATACACTGAGTAAGGTGCCAGTAGTCTATGGAACAAAATAGCCAGGGTCAAGATCTGCCCCTTGATGGTGCTCAATGCCTGACACTGATCCAAGCCAGACAGGAGCAAACATAGTAGTATTCTTCCCCTGGAGAACTTTCTAGGATGGAATTTCCTGCACCAGGCAAAGAAGGCCTTTCAGGTACAATGGTACACTTTCCGAGAAGTTGACTTCCTAGTCTTCAGGAGTGTAGGGATGACTGAATCTCAGGACTTGGGCCAGTCATTAAAGCCAGCGACGGAGAAGCAGGATGAAGAACTGGTATGTAGGCAGACTATCTGCATGGTCTGTAAGGGCCCACAAAGAGCCAACCGAGAGTCTGAGAATGTCTGTGTACCACGTCCTCCTGGGCCAGTTGATGCTGTGAGAATCATGGGAGTGCCCTCTGTTTTGATCTTGCAGATAAGGGAGAAGCCATTGAGGGGAAAAGGCATAGATCAGGTTGAACAGATCTCATGCAGTCACCAGAGCATCCACTGCAAAGGCATGAGGGGTCCCTGCACCCGGTGACAAACCACATCCAGAATTCCTCACCTGACAGAGAACACCTCCAGGTGTCGGTGTGAATGACTGAGGAAGTCTGCTTTAGTTTTCCACACTGCGGTTAGGGCTGGAATGTGAAGTTCGGTCCAGGCCAGGATGAGATCCACTTCTTTTTTTTAGCTGTGCAACGGCCGTGCCATTGTCTGACCGAATCCTGGTCGGGTAACCTTGCAGACAAGATGTCTAGCAAGCAAGAAACACCAAAATTGCCCTATGTTCCAGAGTACTAATGGGAAGCCTGGCCTCCTCCAAAGCCCAGGTACCCTGTAATGACTGGCATCCATCCTGAGAACCTTCCAATGTACAGGGAGAAAGGATTTCCTCAAATCCAGCATTGTATGAGATATCCATCATGCCAGGGAGTGCAGGTCAGACACATGGAACAATCCTCCTGGAATGGTCATTGGAGGACTAAAGTGATCACATTCAGTGGGACTGCTCCCCTTAGGTTTGTGAACTGACATATTGCAACACAAGAGAAACAGCTTAACTAAGTATACCGTAAGACCTGGGTAGTTGAAAACCAACTGCTGAGGGCAAGAGAGGTTCAAATGGCTGGCTGTAACTGTGTCACTGTATACAGCAGCAAATAGGAAATGCTACCCCATACTGAAGGCGGGAACAGCACGCAAAACTTCACCTAGTGACAGCACTCAATTCCTCAGGTCTGTGGAGCCTAGGAAGAATATGGGTATAATAACGCCACCCAACAGTTGCTATAATATTAGTAGCTGCCAATGCTCAGTCCACGCAGCCTACTCATAAATGCTTCTTCAGAGACTGGGGTCACAACTTTGGACATGGAAAGTGCTTTGTGGCTAATACAGTACGCTGAGGTCTGGAAAGTGTCAAAAGCAGAGCCTAGTCAAGGCCACAATTGTCCAGGGGAGACTGGGCACAGCCTCCAAAACTGTTGCTTAGAATAGATCGATCCGGATAGCCGAATAAGAGACCAGCTCAGTAGTGTGTAGATGGAGTCTTAATAGAAGAAAAAAAATCTTGGGAGAAAAAAAAAGCCAGTAAATCAGTTGTTTTGCTAGTGTCCTAGGAGGAAAAGTAACTGAGTGGGAGGGTGATACCAGAATAGTCACTGTTTTTGGTTAGCCAGTGTCCATATACTCCTGTATGCTGCGGTATAACCTGAATGTCAATGAATCCTAGGTCCCTCAATGAGCGAAAAAGAGAATAGACAGTTGGTGTGTACAATGGGCAAGAATCCCAAGATTTTTGGGTGCATTGGCTAACAGGCACGAGTCCAGTTCTGCAATATTCTACAGTAACTGCCCATGGAAAAGTTTTAATAGCATATGTGCGTACCACACTGCTGATAGCTGACATGTAGTCTTTTTTTACTAAAATATCTATTGGTAGTTTCATTCTTTTAGTGGTGCGTTTGCTTGTTGCTTCTAAATAATGGCACTTATTCCATGAAATAACAAGGAACGTATAATCAGAGTATTCTTTGTGTCATTGTGTGATCATTGGGTATTAACTAAAAATACCAATGTGTGGTTCCTACACATTTGCTCTTCAGGTACCACTGAGAAAAAATTTGTATATTGTCAATCATCTTACTTGCTAAAGATTATTTATGTTTTGTGTGCTTCAGTTTTGTTCTGTGTGTTTTTGAACGGCTTCTCTTTACTATTGTAGAGCCATCATCTATTACTTCTTCATTGCTCATTTAGCCAGTGTCTAGACATATTTCTTGATACATTCATTTGCTTTGTCTTGCAATGGCATGTTTGTGCTTGGCGTATTTCAGTCAGTACATGACAGCTGTAACAGCCCAATCTTCTTTTTTTTTTTTAAATAACAGGATGACATGCACAGAGTCATTGACCAGCAATTGATGGACAAACACCAGAAGGAATGGAGCCAGTCTGTATATTCCTTCTCCAGTGGCCACCACACACCGCACTGTGGCAAGGTTAGCACTCTGGATCGCACAGAGCGGCCAGGAGAAGAGCCCATTGGTTCTGAAGGGAGACGCCTCTTTTCATTTCTAAAGAAAACAAAATGTTAACCAACTGTTTCACAGTTGACATTTTTGAATCATGATGGACTTATGTTTAGGGAACATTATTCAGAGCGGATATAAAACGTATCACCATTGATGGCCCACAAAGCCTTCTCTAGGTGAGCAAATTCTTAGTAAAATCTTAAAGCCGGGCAAAAGGAGGCACCTTGGCATGTAACGACCACTAAAAGTATTTGTTAGCCCATGGGCTGAGCTGCATTCACACTTTACTTTCCTTTTGGATGTGTTTTCTATTTTGTAGGACACTTTGTTCACTGGATTTTATCCATAGAGAACACCTTGCACTTTTAGAGCCATCTGTTTGTATTCACTCCACACTTTCCTTGATAAATGAATTTAGCAGGTACAACTGTTGTATACAGGTCCTGAGCTGCTGTCATTCCAAGGAATAGACTCCCTACCTCTGGTCTTCCAGACAGAGCACAGCACAGAGGAATCTTGCAGCTCAACTATTGAGAAATGCTCTATGTACATAGAAGAAGCAGAGTTTTTTTATATTGCATACAGTTCTTTTATAACGTAAACAGATATAAAAATGATGTCATATTTTAGTACAAAATTATGCTTTTTATTGTAAATTCTGAAATAAAATATTTCTATGATTTTCCATGTTTCTTGTGCTTACCTTTAATTCCATTTTTTTGTAAGGGACTAAAAGGCCAGCTGCACCCAACTTTTTTTCTTTTTCACAAGCTGGCTTCTTGTATATCTTGAGGACTCCAGTGGTAAATTAAAAAGGAATTCTGCCCAGCAGCAAGTATGCTGAACAAATAACGTGAAGCCAAACTATGACAGAGTGAAATATTCCTTATGTCCATGTAGAAAGGGGTAGAGACTCCAACTTCAGACAATTACTTGGCACTGATGAGGTTTGGATGCAGCTAGCCTTAAAAATTACAAGTTGAAATACACAATCATTCACAAATAGTTTACCACTATCGGAGCTAATCCAAGAGAAATGTGGGTACATGTGCACACAGCTCTTTTAATAGGTTATTAAAAGTACAGTCAATGCTAGAATTCATCATCATTTGCCTAAAAATAATGCTCACAGACAAATACTCTACAGAGCTAAATTAAATGGAACCTGGACAGACAAACTAGCTACCAATGCAGAATTGGAGGTGCAGCCTCCAGGAAATGTCATCCTGATCCTTGTTTCACTACCAAGCAAGCCACTAACCTGAAAAGAGTATGCAGGACAGAAGGGTATACTTTGGATTTGTGACTCTAACTAGTGAAGCCAGGATCAATATGACAGCCCTGGAGCTTGCACTCTTACAAGTCAGCAGTTGTAAGTCCAACTGAAACAGTAGTTGGCTTCAATAAGATAACTTGCTAATCAGGATCAATATTAAAAGGAGGACTATGGGGTCAGTGTTTTTCCCCATAGTTCTCCTTAGGGTAACGGGAGGACACAAACTAGCGTCCTCCAGTCACCCTAAGCTCAGTATACCGCGAGCTACAGCTCGCGGTATACTGAGACGCCGCAGCGGATCCCGACATGGACGTCGAGATCTGCCCAGCTGCATGAGTGACAGCTGGCCCTGCCTATCTAGAGGCAGAGCAAGCTGTATCCGCCCCCTCCTCCGTCCGTTCCGCCAGTCAGCGCTGGCAGATCGGAGAGGGGAATCCAGCCCCTCCCCTGTCACGGCAGAGAGCTATGACAGGATCGAGAGGTTAGCGAACCTGGTATGTGTTCGCTCACCTCCCGATCTACTGAGCCGACCTGTGACAGTCTCATTGTCACAGGTCGGCTAGAACTATGAGGCGAGTGGAAATCACTCATCTCATAGTTCTCATTTAAAGATTTGGGGTATATGACAACAGTTGACATCCAGTCGTGAAATCTGACTCCTTTCAAACACAAGATACTTGGTCACAGAGACAGGTCCTATAGTTCGATCCTCACAGGTCTCCTGGAACTGTCAATTAACTCACCTTTGCTACAGGCATAACCAGTGATTGACAGAAGAATGTACAAATCATGAGCTACTCCTTTAATGGTAGGAGCCGATACACTAGTAAAGTGACTGTTAACGAAAATGTCTGTAGGCAGCAAGTCCCAACTTTGCTGTGTTTAAGAGCTACTGCATCTAAAAATGCTCAACATCACACTTCTGATATCAATATCTGGTCCCCTTTGTCACTACCATGTCCTGTGGAGACATAGGGCCTGGCAAGTGGAACCCCAGTGTGCAGTTGGAGACCAGGCATCCGAAGCAGCTGAAAGTGAAGGATGATGCGGCTTCTTTGTGGCCATAGCCATGAAGTTAGGACCCGACGCCTGCCAGAGAGGTACGTATTAACAGTCACTTTAGGAAAAAGAAGCTTGTGCTACCATTAGCAATAGAAGCAGGTCAAAATGTCTGGTGCTCAACCGCTACAGGTAGCACATATTCGAAGCCCCATTAGGCCTGCTATGTCCCTTAGTAAATGATCACAGAAAGATTGGCATTTCAGATATAAAGCTCCTGGAATGTATCCACTTAGTAGAATCAATATAAAATGTATATTTGTGACGATTATGGAAAGTATCACTTCTGTTCTTGGTTTATTGGGGTTTTTAATGCCCATCTGAACATAACTAACGCAAAACTGACCTTTCTACTTCACACACTGACATCAAAAGACAACTGTCTGCTTTCTTTTAAATTCAGGACCCATAGTTCACATTTTTTTTTATTAATTTTGTTCCTATTTATGAACAAGATGGTACAAAAATTTGGCAGAGTTTTCTTTTTACCCACAGAATTTGTTAAATTCACATCATGGTTTTTTGTTGTGTTTTTTAAGATAGAGATTGTAACAAACAACTGCTAACAGTTCAGGATCCATCCAGCCTTTCATTAAAAACAAAATGACTTTGTAGTCGTAAGTCCTGCTCTGGTCAATGTAATAGATGCTTGGTTTTCTTTAGCATGGTTTTAAATATTGACGGAAAAAACTAAACAGCGGGGAAGCAAATATAACAGCGAGGCCTAGTGATTCTTACCCTAGTAGGCAGGACAGACACCAGACGCACGGTTAAAGATGCCAACTGTCCTAAGTCTTTAAAAATGTGATCAGTTTATATTCGCTTGTTACGACAGTGTGGCGATCGTAAGACGAAAGCCAAAGCAATAGGAAGGAGGCGAGGCTGGTTAACGCAATTTACAGTATGTACAGACTCTTGTTAATCAGTCCAAGGGGTAGGCACTGCAACTGTCCTTTCCTAGCAGACGCTCCAGAAGAGCAGGGGTGACAAGGGATGACAAGGATCCACAACACCTTGTTGGCACAGCAATAAAAAAGGTGTCAGCGCCTCTCAATAGAAAACCTTGAGAAATTCTTAAATTAACAGCACAAAACTGAGAAAATGCCCCAACCCCTGAAAGCTGGGCACTGCCCGTGGCACAGTTGCTCTTCATTCCAGGAACGAATGTTCGGATTAAGAGCAGCCCCTGTGTGCTGTGCCTGCACCTAGCAGCATCGCTTTTTCCTTTTACTGTTTTTGGTTAATTTCACCACGTCATTCTGTTGCTGCTGTTGCTGCTTTGCCAAGTTTTCTTTCTTTGCTCGGAGAACTAGCTCGGTAATGCAATTAAACATCTGTAAAGACAAACAAAAGGATGTTGTAACCTTAACAAGTAAAAATATTTCAGCAAAAACTTTAATGATTGGCTGCCCTAGACTCTAGTGCAATACACGGCAGTACCAAAATATAAGGGCTTCCATTGCTAATTTGCTTTTTGAAGGTACATGGTCTGGAGCCTTCATTGTCTGGCAAGTAACGGACCTGGAACAAGTAAGAGCTTAGCAGGTGTCATGGCACTCTCTATTGCTTGTTCTGGGTTAGTGACTCGCCAGATACTGAAGTATAATGCACCTTGAGCTTTGCCCTTTTAAGACCTAAATCAGCAACGGCAGATCCTATAATCTGCAAGTCCAAATCCAACCAAAAACTAAGCATCTGTGGTTAATAATAGGGATGCACGGACACCGGTTTTCAGGATCAAGTAGCGATTTTTTTTTTAGGATTTTTTTCCAGCCAATACCGGAAGTCCCATTAAGGAAGCCGGGTGGTGTGTAATGACTTGCCGCCCAGCTTCCAGATTAATACTGCCAGTACTTGCCCAAATACTCAGTATTGGCACCGATACTAGTATCAGCACATGCCTAGTTAATAAGCATGCACATTCCACCCCCCTCTCCAAGTATAAGAGCCTTGTGAAAAAGCCCTCTGTGTTTATAAATAATCAGATCTATAAGATGTATTATCAATTTCTCCAGCGATCTTCAGCATGTGGTATATTTACTACTCATTGATTTGTGCCAAATCGTATCCCTACTGACAAAACAAAACAGATAGTTGGGTAAAGTTCTAACAACTTCCCTACAGAGATGCTTATCACAGGAGAAATAAGCCCGGGTCAAGAGAGAACCTGGCTGGAGGCAACAGAAACTATGGCTGTGAAATCTTTCAGCATTCACATGCACAGCAGCTTTCTGAAAGAATAATGCTCTGCTCACAATAGGGCGGAAAGAAGCTGCTGCTGTTTATTATATACAAATGGAATCATACTGGAAGTACAACGGCTTGCCCAACCTCAACCTCTAATGGCAAAAATCAAGAGATGAAGTGACTGATTATCTTGCACCTTGTAGGAAAAGATGCACCTGTAAGTCTAAACAAACTATGTACAGGTGAAACTCGAAAAATTAGAATATCGTGCAAAAGTTCATTTGTTTCACTAATGCAACTTAGCCGTCTACCAGGAGATTTTGGAGCACTTCATGCTTCCTTCAGCAGACGAGCTCTATGGGGATGCTGACTTCATTTTCCAGCAGGACTTGGCACCTGCCCACACTGCCAAAAATTTTCTGAGATTGTGGATGTGGGGTTCTTGGGGTTTTCATGAGCTGTAAGCCATAATCATCACAATTATGACAAATCACGGCTTGAACTATCTTGCTTTGCATGTAATGAGTCTATCTCATATATTAGTTTCACCTTTTAAGTTGCATTAGTGAAATAAATGAACTTTGCACAATATTCTAATTATTCGAGTTTCACCTGTATTA